TAGAGACAATATTAGCTGTTTACTAAATCCATATGCAATGTAAATATTAAATATAGAAAAAAGTTTATTTACTTTAGGTTCTTGTACTAAGAAAAGAGACAATGAAACTTAAATTTAATCAAGTATTGTGCTATAAAAATTATTGGGAAGGTAGAACCAAATATCGTTTTTTTTCCATGCTCCTCCACTGTCTCTATTTTAGTTGTGTTTATTTTTGAAGGCATCTTATAATGGGGGCAACAATAATGTTATGCTTACATTTTATGCAAATATTGTCAACAAAAAGTTCCTGAAAAAACGGTATTTTTTTTTCTTTTAAAAAAAGCATAGTTTTTTTTACAAAAATCGTTATTAATTTATAATTAATAATTAAGCTACATGTGGGAGAAGTAAACATCTTTTTTCATATATTATTATAACTAATCAATATTCCAAGCCAATGTGCTTTAAGACCCAGACTGTCTAAGACTTTACAGAGTACATATATTTAATTTGTATTTTATTTAGATTAACAAGCAGATTTTAACAGATTTCTTAACCATAACATTCAAAAACAATTCGTTTTTTTAGCTTCAGCTAACAATGATTCAAAATCGAAGCAATATGTTATTTAAAGATTGAATGTTAATTAAGGACTATTAATGCCAGGACATGTACAGCCTGGAGCTACAATTGGAATTGTTACTAAAATAGATTGTTGTGCTATGCATTTGAATAATGTTAATAGAATTCATAATCTATTCAATGTGTGTGCCATCGAACGCTGGACACTCGCATTGGTTGTGCATAAATAAATAACTGTCGGTACAAAATTTGTTTTGTAATTACAAGGGCTCGATGGCGGCGGTTATTAATTTATTTCGTACATGGCGAACAGTTATAGACGTGGTGTACATAATATGTCATAAAAATGTAATAAGTGGCCCATTTATGAACAAGTTGAGTGGCGTTTTGGCCACTGGGGGCCAACTGGTTGACTGCTGGCTGGTTACACGGTTCCATGGCTCTAGTAATTGGCGCTGTTTAGATCTAATGTCGATGCTTTTAAATGTCGCATTGGGGACTATGGATGGATATGAAGAGGGGGGAGGGATTTTCTGGTCGCCCGGATCATTGAACAATTGGCTGCATTTTTTTGAATAATTACGATTATGATTTGGTTGAATGGTGCAGAGCATGAAATTGATATGCAATTAAAATAATATTTTTCGCTATAAGCTGAGCATTTATAACAATTTTGGCATTGATAGCATCGGCACGTCGATGTCATATAAAAATATAAATATATATAAACATATATACCTATATATAGCTGCACATGAATTTTTATGGCTGGCAAGGACAGCAACAGCTGGCGCTGATTTTGCCAAATGTGCGTGAAATATTAATTTCGTTTTTCAATTTTTGCAAAATACATACATACTCGTACTATATATCTGCTATAATTTTTGCAGGAGTGCTGGCATTAAAGTTAGCTCTTTTTCATTTTAATTTTTCTCACTGGTTTTTCATTTTTGTTGCTTGACAACAACAACAACAACAACAACAACAATGGCAACGACAACGAACGACTGCTGCGGTTAATGGCTTTTGAATGCAAATTCAATTTTATCGCACTGTTCGTTTTAATAAGATTTCTTTCTGGCTTTCTGGCCGGCTCTGCCGTCGCCACGCTTCGATGTTGTTGTTATGTGTCGTCGATGACGGTAGGAAAAAGGTGCAGTGCATCACAGCCATGGCTCTGAGACTCTGTGAGTCGGAAAAACGAAAATTAGTTGCAAGCCCAGGCAATGGCAACGGCAATGGCAAGAAAATGTTTAAACACTTGAGCCGCAAGACACGCGACTGCGAAAAAATGCTTTTGGCGCCACTCGCCAGTCGAACCACCACCCTACCAGCGCTCTCACAGCGGTGGTGGTGGTTCACACAAGCGCACACACACACACACACTTATGCACACAGATACTTATGCATTGCGAGCAAACTCTACTTTTACCTTTCGTGCTTGGAGGGCACAACCTACAATCCAACAAATTGCGTTTTGTGCTAGAGTGGGTGGGAAAACTGTCAGAATGAATGAGTAGACTGGTCACACCTACTGTCAGTCAGCTCAGTGGGCAACAACAACTAAAATAACAACAACAGCAGCAATGGCAACAGTATCATTGGACTGGCAAAGGCGTTGCCTTTTAACTGGGCCGTGCCATGCCGGGCTCTGTTCTGGTCTCAGTCCAGCATTCTACTGGACTCCACAACAACTGCTGGCCAAACAACTTTAAAGCATACTTGTTTTCCTTCTTTTTTTTTAAACATTTCCTTTACAATTACGTTAAGTAATGCGCAAAGTCGAGAGCCCTTCAATTATGCACAAGGTCTGTGTTTTAATCAATTGCTGTAGCCAGTGACTGATATAGGCGGCTGATTGTCCAAAGGACAGACCAAGAGTCGTTAGACAGATGTGGAAACATAAATAAATATATAAATATATATGAATAAATAAGTATAAAAAATATATATATATAAAAGTAACACTGCATTTCGAAAATATAAAATCACTCCCTTTCCATTAAATAATATGTATTTTAAGAAGTAAAAAGTACTTCTACATCTAAAAACGTTAAGGAAGTTTCAAAATTGTGCTTTTATTTATTTTAAATATTTTATTTTTATAATATTTCTCCTTTACCTCTGAGTGACTGCTTTATTCATTAATTTGTTTGCCGCTAAATAGCTAAGATACGTTTTCTTTGCTCTAAAAAAAAAATTCAACCCGTCAATGAGGTAAAATTGTCCTTAAAGTTAAATATAAAATTTGGTTTGAAATTTAGTTGCTTAAAAAATACATTATTGAATATAGATACTTGAAAAAGTATTGAGAAACTATCGGAAAGGCCCTGCTTCATTTTTAAATGTGTTTCATACTTTCTTAGACTTTATTTGGAATTTTTACACTTAGTTGTTTCTATTTCAACTACTTTGTGAATTTGAAGTTACTCGACATAATGAAGTCTCTCTTGTTATTTTATATTTCAGCTACTAATCATGAAATATTTATTGTGAATTTGTTATTATTCATAATTGTTCTCTTAAGTTTGTCTTATATTAATGAATCTGAATTACATTTTCGAAAATATATTATAAATAAAATTGTTTAGAAAATAAAAATATATGTACAAACAGTTTCTAAATGTGTTTATTTTTCACAAAATATTTCCTTGGCTTGATTATAGTTTTGAAACAAAGAAATTCAAATGAATTAAAGATTCTTAGAATGAGACAAATATTTATTTATTAACTACTTAAATTACTGTGTTCGTACTGCAAATTATAATTAAACATTATTTGGAATCAATTAATCTAAGAAGACACGCTTTAGAGGCACTTTACAACAATTTACAAAATAGAATTTGTATTTAATGTTTATGTAGAAGAAAAGGTCGGACGCGTCAATTGCTCGGACAATTCGTTTTATATATAATTTCATATTTTACTAAATCGCATACAAATATACATATGCACAAAAAAAAGTGCATTAAATGTTAAGAAAATGTTGTTAAACTCAGAACTAGTCTGTAAAGTAACTAGACTGGTTTTTGTGTTCGCGACTCTGGCATGAGTTCCACAATTGAACGGCAAATAAATCGCCAGTCATATGCCTGAGCTTCAAGGCAGCTGCATATTTTTGGCATTTTGCTAATCATGCCGCCACTGGCGACCTCAGAAAATATTAATATTAGTTATGAAACTGCATAATCTGCTCGATACGCAGCCCCACCAGCCAGACCGAGCAATCCCCTGCCCCACCTGCCACAATCGAAGACCCTGAGCCAGACACTATTATTTCCGACAGCATGATTTTATTTGCGCATACGTCGCTGCCGCATAAACAAACCAAACCAAAGGACTTCCAACAGTCCCCATCCCCTCTCCCCTCCCCCACAAACAACCCGACAGAACACAACCCGACCAGGCCAGACCACCCCGTTGATTACTTATGATATTTCGCTTGGGCGCTTCCGCCATTTTTGCGAAAATAATAGACTGCCACAGACAAGAGTGTCCGCCTGTCAGGCAGCAAGGCGCGCCATCAGAGGCGGCCTTTCCTCGAGACATACTTGCCGCTTATAAGCTTTTTTGCTATCGAACTCCATGAAACTTCTCAATTACTTACTTTCAAAGTTGTTTAGTATTTTGCCAGCGTGTCGAGTGTGGTGGCAACATGGCCGCCACAACAACTCCGAGCGTCAAGCTCTCCAGCTTGGGACCACTTGGTCGCTTGACCGCTCGTTACGTGCTGGATGTGCCGCCTTCTGGTCACATGCAAGAACTTTTTACTTCCGCTGCCACATTTGGGGTTAATTATTTTCCACTTTTGAGCTCAATTTCTTTACACACATACATACATAAGCACATTTTTGTAGTTTGCGAAGATGCTCCTTTCCTTTAAGCCGAGAGAAGTTTTGAGAGAAGGATGTTTAATGGCTACAACAGTTTTTGTGATTAAAAGTCTTTTACTTGTCAGTTGGTATTGAACAAGAGTGGCTTTAATATTAAGAAATCAAAATGAAACTATAGGTTTATTGATCATCATTTGACTAGGTTTTTTTTTTTATATTTCGACTATTAACTCAATTTTCCCTTACTTCCGTTTCCACTCGCTCGAATGTTACTTCAAGCTCCAAGCTGGCTTTTCATCTTATCCATTCAACTGGGGAAAATGGGCTGCATTTTCCGATCACTCTTTTTTCTCTTACCCATTAAATGAGCTGTGTATTAAGACATCGAATTATTAACCAAAATTCGAAGACAACTTCTATAAAACTGAGACAATGCAAAACGCTAACTAAATTAATTTTTATTCTTTTCTTTAGTTCACAGAAACTGTAAAACTGTTACCAACATAATTCCAAATATATTACCTTAATCTTTAAGATAAATTATATTTTTTGCCACTTTTTTCCCATGACTAATTCCAGCATTTCTTTTTGCTTTATTTTCAGGTGATAATTCCATAAGTAAGTAAATGCCAAAATCCCAAACCAACTACAACATATCTACATATTTGAATTGGCTAAGTAAGAAACATACATTCCTATATACTACATACATATATATACTCGTACACACACATTGCATTCGTTTGGGCAACAGCTCGAGTTCGTGGCAAATGTCAGTTGGACAATAATATATACATAGTTGGAATACACTTCTTCTATTTTTTGTTTTTAGCACGGTCTTCTGGACTGGCCCGCAACATGATTAAATGTTTTTATATTTTTCATGCTTGATACATAAACCCCCAACCTCCAACCTCCAAGCTAGTGTGAAGGTTATGTAAGAAAAATAGTCAAAAACGAGGCAAAAACAAAACGCCTTAGCCGTAGTTTTAATTTTTATTTCATTGTTTAAAAAAATTCGGTCATTTGTTTTGCGAGGGCCAGCCGCTGGCGAAGGCAAAACGAGCTGCTAACTAACGATAAAAGTATTACACAAAAAAAATTAGTGTATATACATACATACATACATATATTCGAGTCTACATAATCGCAAAGCTGCAGAGAAATTTTGTCCAGTTCGCATATATATCCAATTAGTTTCGTTTTGTTTTATTTCGAACTACATTTCGTGGCATTTTTGAAGCCATCCCTGCCATTTTGAATATGAAATTTGAATGTTGAGCGTAACGTCACCCATTGTTACACTCAAAGAAATAGCTGCCTTACAATTAGTACTAAATATTTCTTCTCTGTGTATAATAATTTAAAATTAATTTAATAATTTAATTTTCTTGCTTAAACCCAATTTTCTTTAGCTTTTCTTTCATTTTCAAAGTGAATTTAATAATTCCCATAAAATTTAGAAAATCTGAATCGAAATTTGACTAGTTACTTAAAAAAGCACAAAAGTTATTGTTTTAACTAAATTTAAACAAGCTTTCTGCGTAATTAAACACAGTTTTAGAAAGTTTCCAGAAAAATATGTGAAATAATTATTATAATTTTTTTTAAACTTACTTTCAAAGTTACTTTTTAATTTAACAAATATTTTGAGCAAAATATATATTAGTTATTCCGCGAAAGGAGTCATTGACTTCCAGCATAAATATGAGCGATACTTGGCTTTATATAATTTTTTCCGAAATAAATATTTATATCCAAAAAATTGCAAGTAAAATGCACTTTTTTTGGGGATAAAATATTTTGCGGATAAAATTTCAAAAAGCATATAAATTACTTGTTGAAGCCTCAACTTTACCTCATAAAGAGAAAACAAACTGGGTCTGTTATATATTTTCTGTTATTTATTCATAGAACTTTTTCAAATACATATGTACTTATTAAAACCTGACGCCGAATAATGGAATCATTAGAATTACGAGTACACCAAATATTACTCTCCTTTTTTTAAAAAAGAAATAATTTGGTTTCTAATATTATACTTTTCTAGAAAAAAATATGTAGTACTTGAAGAAAGAAATATATAAGTATATATGTAGTACTTATTAAAAATAACTTTTTCTTGAAGAAACTAACTTCCAATTAGTTGTTTAGAGCCATTTCTTTAAAAATTTTGAGAGTGCAGCGGATCTTAGCTACTAAACACATACATACATACATACGTATATACAATAATACATAGATGTATGTATGTGTATATAGAAAAAAGTAAACCAATCAACCGTCAAGCATTGGGACATGAAGTGTATTTGGACGGAAACAGCGCTTTTTCATGTTCGTGACCAAAGTTTAAGCGCGCTGCGGGCTTGAATACAAAAATTTTTACCTGAATTAAATTAAGTAACAAAACACGAACGTATTTTTTGTTGTGCCTCACACACACACATACACACACCATTCTTCCTTTGCTACCTTTATTTCTTTTGGCGTTGCTGTTTGCATAGTGTATAAAAAAAGAAGAAAAAAACAGTACAAAGAGAGAGAATAAAACTCAAAATGAAACACGCTACCAGGTTGAATTTTTTGCCCCCTCCTAGCCTGTTCAACATGCCCCCAACTTGTAATATCATTTGTCGACTCATGTAGAGGCTAACACACACAAGTGTGCGTGTGTGTGTGTGTTTGTGTCTGTTTTGGTCACGTTGGTGCTCGGACGACGACTGTGTTGGTATTGGTAAAGCGGTTGCGGAGGAAATAATTACATGATTGAGGCACAAAACTCAAACACACACACACACACATGCACATATATGAAACAATGACAACAACAACCACTTTCTTAGTCGTTGTTGCTGTCGTCGTCATCAGCGTTGTTGTCTGATCGGAAAGAACATGTCAGCCAGGCCCAGCGTACTCCGAGGGTCTCTGCGGCTCTGACCATTGCATGACATGCTCGCACACACACACACACACACATATATCCACTTGTATATAAACATAAATATATACATACAAGTACACACATATAGTACATATGTGTGAAAACGCCGGCATATGAATGAATGAATGGCGGCTCTTGATATAGAATTCTTGTTTGGTTTTACTTTTTATTGTTGTGGTTGTTCTTCATTTTTTTTTTATTTTTATAATTCATGCCAAAGCCGCAATGACGACGGCCCTGAGGCAATTATTGTATCGCTTTGCCACAGCAACAGCCACAGCCACAGCCACTGCCACAAACCCAAACCCAAGCCCATCCACAGACCCAGTCATGGCCACAACGCGCACCAAGGCGAGGAGTGGGGAGAGTTTTGTTGTTGAGAGGCAAAGGTGTAGGTCGTTCGAGCATATGTGTTATTGGCCAGTCATTTATATACTTATATGTACATATATATTTATGGGTAAATATGAGGTAGTGACATGTGTTATACAATGCTCAGGTTGCCTCGAAATGCGCCTCAAATGCCAATGAAATAGTTCATCAAACAGCAAATATCTATAGCTATAATTAATTAGAGAATGGAAGTATAGTAAGTACCAGAAGCTCAAAGGCAGCTTTGGCCTTTCATGGCTTATGATATTATTATTTATTCCTAACTACAAAGTATTATTTTGATTAGAGCCAGTGTTTCTAATAAATTAGAAGAACTTTTCAAAAAAATTTGTCACTTCTCTATGTACTATATAAATTGCAATTATTTGTTTTGTAAAAGTCCTCCTTATTTCGTACTTTTCTAGCTAGTTTTAACTTCCCAAAACCTTCTAAATTTTTAATATGATTATGCGAAGTTCAAGCACAGCAATTTTTAATATGAAAATGATCAAAAATTCGACGTTTATAATCAAGGCCTGACTAGCTCGGTGAGGAGCCACAGTTGCTCAAAGTTTAGGAAATTGCAATACTGATTAGTAGAAGATATGAAGTATAACTTTTTCTAAACCGATTAAAGACTAGATTAAGCTGCTTAGCTATGTATGGCAGCTTTTTAAAGGAATTTGATAATACCTTCAGCTTAGAGTGTTGATATACAGCATACTATATATAGTAGTATGTTTCCTTAACAATCCCTTAAACGTTTGAGACTCTTGCCTTCAGATTTTATTAATATTTCAGCCTTCATAAATTGACAACTTTAATATATTTAGTTCTATAAACACTTTTCCAATGACCAAGTGCCGTCAGGATAGTCCCGCATGGTCAAGACGACTGGCTTAAAGTCTGAGAAGCGTAGTTGTGATTAATTTCTAATTCCAACTAATGCTCCGCAAAGTGTTTGTGTTCGTGTTCGCTGTTCTGTTTACATTTTGCTGCCGTGTTTTTGTGTGTCTTCTAATGTACCTTGATAAAACGCTCTCATTCCACATTCACATCCCCCTCCCACGGTCCAGTTGGCCAAGTTTCGTGGGCGCTGCCCTACCCCCGAGCGATTGCGCCGGCCACCGCCTCCAAAAGACTATACTCGAGTCGACTCAACGTTCGGGCCCACATGTTTGCATCATTAATCATGACGTTTCAGCTCGGACACATTTGTCCGATCGGCAGCGGTAACAGCAGCAGCGGCAGCAGCAGCGGCAGCGGCGCATCATTGTAATGAAAACGTTTTGAAAGCGCGCAGACTAACGGATACTTTGAGACGAAAGAGAGACAGACGTGGACGCGGACGCGAACGTCGACGTGGACGTGGACGCACAGCGGGATGGCAGTGCGACGGCCCGGCGACGGGGAAGCGAACGACGACAAAGACCGACGACAGACAATGCACGCCGAGGTTAGCAATTTGAAGACAAATATTTCCACAATGCGAATACAAAGCACACGACAGGCCAACGACAACTCCCTCGACCGCACATGTAAATACTAGTCGGCTATTTAACGAAACTATTAGCTTGATTGTGGCAGAGTTTTGGTCAGGTACGACTATACTATACTTGTAGAGCAGCTTTACAAACCTAGGCACATAGATAAGCTGCTTAAAGAGGGTCGATTGAAGAAACTACCTTTCTTCGTCTGTTAGACTTAAAGCAATAATTGTTATAATAGCTTAAGGCCTTAGTTGATATTGCTTTAACTGCTTATGAGCAACTGAAAAAAATTTATATTTATTTCAGAATAAATTAGAAGTGTTAAAATATCTTCTAAAGCTATGGCCAGACAGGGAATTAATTTGTACACCTAAAAGATTGAAATTTAGAAACTTTTCAAAATATAATTTGATTTCAAATTATTTGTATGAAGAACTGTAGCTTAGGGCTTACAATTGTTAACATTTTTATAGTGCACACACCTTTTTGGCATTTGGACTTTATTTTTTTATTGGAATAATATAAAACGAAGGCTTAACTTAAATAATTGTCTTTTTGGCAGCAATTATAGTTGTTAATATTTTATACATAATTCCGTTCATTTGTGTACAAGTTATCGCTGAATAAAATCTTTTTTCTATACCTATTTAAATGAAACTGATTTTGCAGATATATAGTTACTTTTCATCGGGCATTTTATTCTTGAAAGATAATTTAGTGTTTCCAAACAATTCTATCTAGATATATCTAAGACTTCGCATGCTTCGGCTTAGTGTATCCCAAAAAATGCTTCTCTTTTATTAATTATCTTAAAA